TATGCATGCATGCATGCATGCATGCATGCATGCATGCATATACACACACACACACAGACAAACACACACTCATACACACACACACACACACACACAAAGGTGCCTTATTTTCTAAGTGTCTGTTTTTAGCATTGAGTACCAATCTTGCTTAACCAATCGTGCTCTTTACAACTGTTGAGCAATAATTTTCCAGCTATACACATAGCTGAATGTTATAAGAGGAAATAAAATTCCCATAAATATTCTTCTCAGTCTATTATGTGGTGTGTGGGGTTTTTTTAAAGTTGTGGCTACTCTTCAGATGTTTGAGAACTACTTGCACATTATAGATAGTCTGTTTGCTTTCGAGGAACCTGTTATCTCCATCCTGATCACAGCTAGAAGAAATAGCAGTGACTGCCTTTGCGACTCTTCCTTCTTTATATTAAACAACAAAGCTTTAGGAGACTTCTGGTTCTTTCTCAGGAGGAAACTGGTTAATAAATCCTTCATGATTCTGTAAGCCTAACGTAGCATGAATTAGACTGACCATAGGTTCATTTGTTCAGAAGTATGAAAACAAGCAAATCAAACAGAACAGAACAAAATAGAATTCTTTATTGGCCAAGTGTGTTTGGATACACAAAAGGAATTTGTCTTTGGTGCATATGTTCTCAGTGTACATGAATAAAAAATAAAATAGAATACATTCATCAAGGATCATAAGATACAACACTTAGTGATAGTCATAGGTTACTAATAAGTAATCAAATGGAAAAAGAAATGGTTTTATGCTTTATGTTTCTTCTAGATGGACAAAGCCATAGTTAAGATTTTTTTACTCTTACTAAAGCAAATGAAACAAGCCATGGATATTGCATTGCCTTTACCCACACAGGAAGGGAGACAGCAAGCAATCTGTAAAAGTCATAAAGCACAAGTGGGCATTCTTACTTTAAATTGTGAGTGATGTGTAAACTGAGTCCCTGAGGTTCTTGCCAAACATCTGTTTTATGTGAACTGGGGAAGAGATAAAAAGGAAAGTGACATTTTGGAGACTCTAAATTTGATTTGAGGACCATAGACATGGATAATTATGATAGTGACTATTAACATTTAAGAGTAAGTTATTAAAATGCAGATGCACAACTTGCAGCCTACTGGAAGATCACTTAGAGCCCCACAGAAGCCCAAATGTTGTTGCTGAATTTCAGTGATATTGAAATCTCCCAATTGCCATTGGTACATCACTCATCACTAGTCCTATCTCCATCTCCGTCATTTGTTCTTGTCTTCATTCTCTTTGAAGCTACCAATCTTCATTCCATTGTTGCTTTTTTGTGCTTGGACTTGCCACCTTCCGCACCAACAACAACCAACTTTTCAATTTCACCCAACCCATCTCCAGTCTTCCCCTTCCTATTTGATCCATTCCTTTCTACTTGTGCCTTTTGCCTTATTCTTCCTTCAGTTCCCCCACCCTTCGTTTTTTTTCATGACATCTAAGACAAAAAGCCAGCTGTTATATCATAGCAAAGTCTTTTATACTTGGTTGACCCTGTAGATCTGTCATCCAACTAATCTTATATGGCATTGATTTTAAGATGATGATCATTCAGATAACAGTTATGCTCTGCTTAAAATGATCATAGGGAGGAAATAGAAAAGGCAAATCCTTTCATGGATGAGGACCTGTCTTTTTCAATTCATTAAATGAATACAATTAATGCAACTATAAATAAAACAAAGATTGTTTCTGTGCTTTAGCTGTATCTTTCATTTCATTTCCACTCCATTTCTGTTGGTCCTACTTTTGCCGATTTTGGAGCACAGGATCAAAATGCTTTTCAATCTCCTGGAGTGTCCCTCAAAACTTGCTCACCTGTGTATGACAGTTTTTGACATTTCCAGTCAAAGACATAATTCTTCAGACTTTCCCTCACTGACCGATTTTTTTAATGAGAAAAGCCAGAAGCAGTGAGAAAACTTGGGAGACTTAGAAGTATAAGACCAAAATGTCTAATTTACCATTGCAAAATTTTGTGAATGAGGGACAAGCAGAAATTTTGTCTGAAAGCACCTGGTTTTTTTCTCTCTCGCAGTACTCTCATCTATGAAATGGAAGAGAAGGAAGTGCTCCAACTGAAACTTCTGCTATGCAGTTTATTTGTTCTCTGTAAACCAGGAATTTTTTTTTGATTCATCAGGTTTTTATGATCTGAGTGATGGTGGCTCCTGCTCTCTGTCTAATTCCTGCACATCTGTCTTCAGTGAATCCATTTCCTCCTCCCATGCCAGTTTGTTACCAAGTTCTCAGCTCTCCAAAACCCATCTCAGCATCTTTGATTACCGACCCAAATCTGCAGATGAAACCACAGTGCGCACCCAGTTCCAACAGGAGGGACCTCATAGCGGTGATGGATGCCAAAGCAAAGCTTGCCTAGATGTTTCAGGCACTCCAAGCAAATCCAGACCAAGGCCTGTTTCTACTGGTAAGTATCACAGGTTCTTTGGACCTTGATTAGAAAGGGAAATAGTTTTCTTTTTATCCTTGCTATTATTGATTAAGATGATAATGCACGTGCTATTTTGTATTGAGGCTGTAGTCATGTAGTCTTTTATTCTAAAGAAGTAACAGGATGTTGCTGAAGCTGTCCTGGATTGGACAGTGTGGGAAGTTATCTTTCATATAGCACATAGCAATATGGACAGGTTTAATTCACTTAAAGTCTCTATACTTTTAACAATTTATATCAGACAGATTTTCAGTCAGTTTAGCTTCTCTTGAATCAGCATGGTGTACTGCCTGAATTACTGTCTGGTCTTCAGTTTGGGCCAGAAGCTTGGAACTTCAATATCTCTACTCAATAACATCAAAGATAAACAAACCTAGCAGCCACACTGCATAGTCCAAATTGTTGACATGTTTCTATGGTGTTCACATCATGAAATGCAGTTCTTAAACTTAATCCAGTTTCATCAAAGCAGAATGCTTTGAGTTGAATTTAAGTCTAATTTATTTTATAGACATTGATTTCCCACTGCCTTTCCAGATTTGTGTGTGTGTGTGTATTTCTGCTCTCATGTACTGTGTCCTTATATCTCCAAGTAGTCTCCCATCTAAGTACTAATATCTGCTTTTTCACTGACTGTTTTGTTTCAATGTCTTGGAAACAGCAGGTACTTTGAGTCTGTACTTAAAAACCACACAGCCCATAACTTTAATCACACTGGTGGAATTCTAAAAACATTCTGTCCTAGATGTAAGGAGAATAGCTGACTCCTTCCGATAAGAGGTACATGTTGGTGAGATATGTGTACCTATTGGAGATGAGCAAAGATGTGATTCTTCTGAACTACTTTGGAGGTCATTTAAACCTCCAGGATTGTGCAGGAAGTACATAAAGTTGGAGGGGCTGTTCAATGCAGAGTGTTTGCACTAAGTAACTAAATAGTCTTAAGGGCACAGTTACACTAGAACTGAGTAAAGTGCCAGAAATAATAAAGAAGGATGCATAGCAAGAAGAGGAAATGTCTGTTTTTATTAAGCCTTCCAACTTACTCGGTTAGAGCAAGCTGGAATTAATTAGTTACTGTATAGTTTTTACCCACTTTGCTCTGCAAAAGAAATAATGCAGCTGCTGCCCATATCAATAAACTTCTTCCAAAATTGGCCAATACTGTCATGAAATGGAGCTATCTGGGCCTGCTTCTTGTATCAACTAAAGCATTTAAACTTACAGTTACACAGAAGATTTGCCTTGGTTACCTCCTTCACCCCTTGATTAGTGTCAATATGGAATTTGAGCTTCACAATCTTGAGCGTAAGGAAAGTCAAGAAAGCAGTTGTTGGCTTGTTTGATTCCAATGTGATGTGGCTATCTGGCAAATGAAATTCACTCAGATCTGCTCTGACTTGGATTGTGACTGAGAGGTGACTATTGTTCTGTCTCCAATCTACTCTTTTTTAGGGAAGATTGTAGAGAAGATAGTTGGTCTACAGTTGATAAAAACCCTGAAGAAAGCATTTTATCTAGATCCATTTCAGTCAGGCTGGGATTCATATGGAGAGAGTTTTGAACATGCTTGTAGATGACCTATGGTGGAACCAGAATGGATATGCTGCAATGCTGCATCCATCCTCGTTCTTCTTCATATGGATTTCAACACCATTGACTATGGTATCATTCTGGGAGAGCTCCTGGGGTAAGAAATCGGGGGGGGGAACGGGACATTTTAGGGGCTTCTTCCTTTTGGGCTGGTTTCTGGATGTTGGTTTGACATGTTATTGTCTAAGTCCCTCCTTTGTGGGGTGCTACATAGTTTGACTCGCAATCCTGTTCCTTTTTCCTACATGAAACCACTATGGGAGGCTATTTGCTGTTTTTGGGGTTCAATATAAAACCAGCCACGTGAGGCTATATGAGTGGATGGAGGAGGAACCATCCAGGACTCAATCATACCAAGACTGAGTTCCTGTGGATATTAGGTTCTACAGAGTAAAGAAGATGACTTTGCCTGAGATGTGCAAGCTCCCTTATCAAAACAACAAGGGGTGAAAAATAAGTAAAGCCCACAAAAAATGGTAATACTCTGAAGAGACTTAGATAGACACCTCCATAATTCACAGGTGTATAAGCAGGGGAGGGAGTACAACACAATCACATCTGCAGGTTTATTTTATTATACCCAGTGTCGATAAAAGTAATTTTAGCTATTTGGTGGAATTGATTTCCTGGTCTGATCTATTGAGGCTGACACAGGACCATCTAGATCTGGGGAGATTCCATCTTTAACCTTGAATGGAATAGGACTTCCCCATTCAAGAAAAGTGTACAGTTGGTGATCTTCCTAAATACACAGCTCCTGCTCCATCAGCAGGGGACAGTTATGGCCAGGAAAGTGCACAGCTTCATCTGATATGCCAACTGAACCCTTTCCTAGATGGGGAAGCTTTTGTAAATAACCTAGTCTCTTCACAGCATGTTTATTGCAGTGTGTTTGACATGGGGCTGCTCATGATGATCACTCTGAACATGCAATTTGTCAAAAAATGCAGAAGTTCAGGCAGTGATGGTCATGCCTGGGTATGCCCATGTGATATGAGTGATTCAGAGTGCTGGCTATGACCCATAAAGTCCTTCTTGGCATTGGGCCTGGTTATTTGAAGGAGTACCTAAGCAGCCTACTGGATTAATCTGACAAGATTGGCACATGTAAGGTTTCTTCAGTTAAGCTCTGCCATCTATTGAGACTCCAGCTGCATGTCTTCGCCACATGGCAGCTGCTTTCTGGAGTAAGATCTAGAGGGTTACCATATTGGTGGCATTCCAGAGAACATTAAAACCCTTGGCTTTTGTCCCAAGATCTGAGCTAGTGCTTTGCTGAGTATATACGTCTGTTATTGCTGACCCGATTCATCCCTTTCTTTACAGTTTTATTTTAATTCTGTACTTGCTATTTTTCTCTTCTGCTGGGAGACACCCAGAACTGATTAGAGCTAGAAGCCATCTAAATTGAATAAGTTAATTTTAAAAAACCATTTAAAAAAGAATATTAAAATCTAACACCACCACCATCCAATATATTAAAAGGGCAACAAGTCTACACCATCCATGTTGCCCTCCCTATCTGGTTCAAAGGTTAAGAATGAGTTTCTGTATTAGGGAAACCATATTTGTAGGTAGATCTCTGTGTAACTTAGAACATGGCTTAGGACATTGCTCAGACTGAAAGGCAGTGTAGAAATTGGATGAAAATGGCTGCTTATGTCCTTTACGTCCTTTACCCATTTCAGATAGAATCAGTGATGGGTCCTACTCATCTACTACAGATTGCTACTCATTTGTGCAAGGAAAACTGTAGAATAATTCTAGTGCAGCATGAGGTTCTCCAAGTGACCCAAGGCTTATATATAACCCAATAGAGTTATAACTCTATTGAAGGAACTCTATTAGAACTTCTATATATTTTCACTGTTTCTTGAATCATTTCAGACTTCACTTTCAGACATTTGCATACTTTTCTGGTATTGAGAGAGATATAATACTGTATGCATGGCAAAAGATGAACCAACCCGTAGAAAATCTTGAACACAGGTTTATTCCACCATTACTATTCCTGTGGAATAATGAATGTTTGGGGAATGAGTGTTAATTTTATTTTAAAGGTTCATATGTATTAATTGCATTGTAAAAGCTTAAATTGGTGTGTGTTGCAGTAAAGCCAGGACAGGAATGGTTTGTCAAATGAATTCCACAAGTCATTCTTAACACAGGGGCTTTGTCACAAATGAGGAGCATCTATGCTTGGATGCCTTCTTGAAAACAGAGGCACATGCTTCATACATAAGGAGGAATGGGATGCAGTGTAACACTTTTCCTTTGTGTCATGCACAAACTTCACTGATCTCAAAAGATCATCATGTCATTGCCTTGCATTGATGCTCACTTAAAGGGATAGAAACAGCAAAGATGTTACTTTCTGTTAACTCTTTTTGTGAAATTCTGTCTTCTCCTCAGGTGACCTTGAAAGACTCAACTTGGTGGATGCTGGATTCCCAAAAGTCACTGACCTCAAGGCCTCTCCCCAGCTTGGTTCAGGAGGAGAAGTCCAATTTTACTGCATGGACCCCAAATACCAAAGCAATTTGGTCTCCAAAAGTGGGAACGATGTGTATCCTTATCCTAGCCCTCTTCATGCAGTTGCTTTACAGAGTCCCCTTTTCTCCCTGGCAGAATCAGAGGGCCGCCCTTTACTTAAAGGTGCACCTCATTTCATGGGGCCCAGTTTGATTAAGACTCGGCCACTTATGGAACTCAGGCCAGGGGGTTATATCAACAAACTGCTGCAGCTGACACGCAGCAAAGGAAACTATCCTGCCAGCTATCCTGCCGAGTTCAGTGAGAAAGGTCCAGCAAAGAATCAGCCACTCACAATGCTCCAGAGACTCATTATTATCCCCAGTCCTGGTGGAGTGAAAATTAACAGCAGCAGCAGCAGCAGCCAGCTGGAAAAACAGAGGGCCCCACTGCCTTGTAATAAAGGCGATGGGAAGCCACCAAGGGACGTGCCTGAAGGGGAATGTGCCAAACAGACGGAGATTGTGCATAGTGTGAATGTAGAGCAGGCAGGTTCACTGGCTGACACAGAGTCTTCACCAGCTGTGAATGGCTCTTACCCTGCTAAGCCATCTGTGTGGGACTCTCCTGTCACTGAAGCTGGGGAAAGCAGCCTGGAACGCAGCTCTTCCTGCTCCCCGTTTGGAGTGGATGATTCCAACTTGAGCCTCCCAAACACCTGGGTTGCTTCTGCCAAAAAATCTCACAAGAAATCCCCGAGAGCCATAAAGCCTGAAGAACCTGAGTCTGCGCCTCAGGAGGAATTGGTGCACGCCAAGTTCATCCCTACTGAGTCCCATCAAGTTCGAGTCAGGTTTGCCAATTCTAAGGTGAAGCCTGTGAAGATGAAGAGGAGGAATAGTGAGAAGGTGCTGAGGCCGGGGAGGCAGGTGCTTTATGTGGAGAAGCCACGTGGGGTTCACCAGCTTGCTGCCAAATTGCCTCTTGAGTGGAGTCTGTCTCAGAGACAGCTCAGGGGAAGGCATCTAATTCGGAGGCCTACCTTTGCAGGGGAAAGTACTGGGAGATCCTGCTCTGAGTCCAGTCTGTATCCTGTGCCATTCGGCATCCCTCAAACACTCTCCAGGTCTGAACTCTGCAGAGCGTCTGCTAATGCCATGTATTCCCTTGAAGCAGCTTATTCTGACCCCATGATTAAAAAAAAGCAGCGCAAATGGCAATCCACAGTGGAGATCTCAGCAAAAACCCAAGTTTCCAGCCTTTCTAGTAGCCTTGCCTTGGGACCACCAAAACAGGGAAAGAGAGCTGGGATTTTGCGTACTGTAACCATGAGAGGCGAGTCCAAAAAAGGCTTCCCTCTTCATCCAGGGGCCTACGCCAAAAGTGAGTCTGACCATTCAGAGTATTCTGCTGAATGTGCATCACTTTTCCACTCCACCATTGCAGAGACCAGTGAAGGAGAAATTAGTGACTATACAACCAACCGCTTTGGGGACAGTGAATCCAGTGATAGTGATTCAGAGGAGGGCAGTAGCAGCAGCGGCAGCAGCAGCAGCCTGACTCTTGATTATACCGATGAGATCCATGAGCATGAAATGATCTGGCCCACATCTACAGGCAAGCAGGCAGCCGCTGGTCAAGCCTTGGCCAAGCCTCTACCACCAGTGCCCAAACTCTGCCGCATCAAAGCATCAAAGGCTCTCAAGAAGAAAATTAGGAGATTCCAGCCTAGTTCCCTGAAAGTGATGACCATGGTTTAAAAAGAGATGAAGATTGTTCAATCAGCTGCTTGTGTCCCCGTTTGCAAAGCCAAGGAAGATTGGTACTGTAAAGGATTCTTGGATCCTAGATTTCAAGTCAAGGTGGTTGTTGTCGGGGGTTTTTTTTGCATTTGTTTAATGCCTGTCTAAATGACACTGTGTTCCTTTTTCTGTTCTGTAAGTGTGTTTCCGTGGCTTCATACCTACCCTACTTCATTCCATTCTAATAGCTATTAAGTGTTTAGATTATGTGTCCCATTCATCCAAGTTCTGATGAATTGAGGGAAGAATGCATAGCCTATAATGCATGGGGGAGATTTCCCAAGGTTGGCAGGTGTGTTTGTCTATGTGTGTAAGATTGCTTTCTTGCCAGAGATGGCACTGCAACGTGTTTCTTGGAAGATCACTCATTGTCAAAAGGGCTCACCTTCTCATCTTCTCTTTCCCCATAGTCATCCATATTAATGAGCAGCAAGGCAGGATACAGATTGAGAAAATGAACAATAATAATCATTATCAACATGGCTTATTCAGTAACACTTGTCCATTTGTTTCAGTTTTCTGGGGTCAGAGAGTTGTGCATGGCTCAGATGAAGGTTTGAATATGATTCTTGGCCATTTCTAAATTCAGAAGGATAAATAATGTTCTACAATATAGAATACCATCTTTTGATATTGAGATGTTTGCATCCTCTGGACTAGGTAAACTACAACCCAAACTGTGCCACAGCACATTGCCAGCTCAGATTTATTGCAGGCTCAATAAATGTTATGATCTATAAAGGTGTAAAAAGCTGTCTCACTTTATTCAAAACAAGAGTTTTCCTAATTTTGTTCAGAGGCTGCTTGGAGTTACTTTGGTGACCAAGCTTTCTCTAAGTGAATATGTTTGAAATGAATTGGATGCTACATGAGTCATAGCACTTGATCCCTAAATTGCTAAAGCCACGTATGATCCTGGTATGATTATTCATTTTAGAGGAAAAATACTATGCTATGCTAAATGCTGCATTTAAGGATTGTACTTGAATTCAATGCTGCAGCAATTTTTTTAATCCACAGATAAAATTCATGGCCAAATGTACCCAACTGTGATAGGTTTAAGATTAATATCCCTGATTTTTTTGACTGATGGAAAGATTTTAAAGCACTTCACACCATGTTTGCTGTGAATGAGGTTTATCCATTCATAAGATGGGTTCAATTGGTCATTAACAAGATATAAAACACTAATATGCTAGAACCATGCTGGCTAGGGAATTCTGGGAGTTGAAGTCCACAAGTCTTAAAGTTACCAAGTTTGAAGAGCCCTGTGTTAGAAAACTCAACCACACTTTCTAGTTATCTCTTTACTCTCACCCTTCACAAGGATATTACAATAATATTCCAGTTTTCCAAGTAGGTGATCTACTTTGAAATAAAGCACATACACCTATGTATAGGAACAACACACTTTTATTTTCTGCAAAATATATGAGTGATTACTTGGAACAGAGTGGCTGGTACAAAGCTTGGAATAAAACATAGTCCCAGAATTTGGTACTTTTCTTGATAGCATGCTCAATTCCTATTTGTAAGCACAACATTAGGGTCCCACAACACTGATTACAGCAGTACTGTGAGCAAGCAATACCTCCTTTTACATTGAGGTGGATCTATTTCTTACGCTATTTTTTTTTTACAAGAAGAGGAGTGACAAGCCTTGTAATCAATGCCAGGAAACACAGAAAAGAGTCTTTACAGGGGAGTATGGAAGTCTTTGAGGTAAAAGAGCAGGCTATGCAACCTAATAGGTTATTATCTCTCTTTTAGCCCAAACAAATCTAATTAACTTCAAAACTCCACAAAGTGGGGATTTAGAGGAAAACATTTAGCCCTTTTCTCTTGTACCAATTCCCAAATTAAACTCACCTCTCCTTCACTTCCTGGCTGAGCATCAACTGCTTGGTGTGGGATGAAAACCATCAGTCAGAATGGTCAAGGAACTGATCGTTAATTTTTCCTGCAGAGAAATTTTAAAGCAATGGTGGGTTTCTTTAGCCTCTAATCTATTTTCATATCTAAAAAATGCACAGTTAGTTTAGGGGAAATAAAATATTTTGCATTAACCAAATGAAAGTAAAATAGAGAAAGACATGCTTTCTCTTTATATAATATTGTAACACATAAGCCCAGATACATTCAATAAAAGGGCCTCAGCAGATCAAAGATGAAGGGGGAAAGTATGGAAGATAGCTCTATTGCTGGCTAGCAATTGTAATCAAACCTCCAGTCGGAAGATGTGTATCATTGAACATTAACTGTGCTATTGGATGTTGAAAGCAACTATGTGAAGCTGGAAAAGAAGATCTATTTCTTTTGCGTTATAAATTAGTTATGGGGAGGGGGAAAACCTCACTTTCACACACACATATAACAATGTGCCCAGTTCATGGAGCTCCTGTACACAATTCTACCATAAAAGGGAAAGAGGTTGATCAGATTGTCATTTCAATATTCAATTTTCATCATTGGAGATTAAGTATGATCTGTGAAACAGCCTACTTCTGTGGTGGAGAACCTATGGCACACTTGCCTGAAGGGGCATGTGGAGCCATGTCACCTGGTATGCGTGGCATCGCCCATTCCTCTTCTGGGTTTCTGGTGTGCGTGATGTGCATGACGATCAGCTGGCCTTTGTGCGTGTGGCAATACTGGAAACTGGAAATGCTGGTCTTCTGTTTTCTGGCATAAGCATGCACATCAGGCAGCCGATCATCATGAGTGCTAGTTACCGGAAGACTATCTGGCCAGCACATGTGTGCGCACTGGAGTCCAGATGTTTATTTTCCTGTGTGCACATGCCCTCTGGACAGCTCCTCTTCCAGGTTGCAGCCGACGTGTTGCAGCACACACTCCCTTTTCAGCAGTGCTGAAAAGGTTCGCCATCACTAGCCTACTTACTAAAAATGGGAAGGGAAGGAAATTATGGGTCAAATTTAATTTTGCTTCTTGATAACATAATTTTTAATGAAGTGGACCTCACAAAATAGATGTCTTTAGATGGGTGTTACATAAATCTGGCTACATGGTTTGGACAACACCGCATTAGCTCATCAAAAACATCAGGAGGTTATCAGCTGAACTACTTACACAAAAATGTTAAATACATCACAAAAATGGTAATAAAACAGGTTTTCAACTCTACAGTGTGGTGACCCTGTAAAGTTTCCGATAAGACTGACCTCATTAACATGACATTGATACTAATATCAATATTAATCGATGTCAATATCCCTATGGATCACACATTCAGGAATCTGCTGTAAATAATACAGCTTAGAATTTTGTTATTCAGGAAACACCCTGAAAGTAATTTCATTTGAGATGGGTAGCTTTGATAATGAAAGGTATAAATTGCTTTACTTCGAACTGAAGACATAAGAAATATGATGTGCCTCTTGAATGTGGATGGTGAACTATGACATTTGGAGAGAAGTCATCATCTTGTTTAAGGTGCTTAATAAGAATAATGCTAATTTACACAGATAATTCAAATCAGTTGCACTGTCAACATTGGAAGAGTTGAAGGACCGGGTTAGGGACAGATCAATGAAAAACAACTATATGTGGTTGCTAAGAGCTGACACTGACTTGAAGGCATGCCATCAATTTAAAAAAGACTTTCCTGGTTAAAAGGCATCAACCACAATCATAAAGTCACTTCTGCTTAAAAGTGAATGGATGACGCAATATAATTTTGTGGCCAAGAGTCTTACCGAATTGAATAGGAATATGTACAGATAAAAGTTTGCTTGACCTTACATATTCTATCACTATATTATTATAAAACATAATTATTCACATCAATTGTATTAAAAAGGAATAAATAGAAATGCACATCTTCCTTGGGTGTTATTTTCAATACTGAGCAGCTAAATCTGTGCATCACATTTTTCCCACTCTGCCTGAAAAGCAGGGGGGGAAATGAAGTTTTGGTTCATCTCTCAAACATTGATCTGAGTAAGGAGCCATAGAAGTGACCTTGGAGAAGACATCCAGAGATGTTAAAGGACAACCACTGCTGCAGATAAAGCATGCATCAAGTCCAGGATGATAGGAAAGTCAGATAGATTCTGATTCTGATCTTTTCTGATTCCCTAGAGCAGTGTTTCTCAACCTTGGCAACTTGAAGATGTCCGGACTTCAACTCCCAGAATTCCCCAGCCAGCATTCCCTGGGAGCGAATTCTGGGAGTTGAAGTCCGGACATCTTCAAGTTGCCAAGGTCGAGAAACACTGCCCTAGAGTATACATTAAGAGGAAGGGAAGGGAAAACATAGGGAGATTGGAAAGTTCTGTTAAAATAACTCTGTAAAGTATAATGCTAGTCATCCTGTGGAGTCAGTTTCCTTCTTTGTCTATTTTGTAGGTCTCTAGAGCTCAATTATATCCCAAATGACAGCATGACAAAGATTTTCCCCCTTTTCTCAACATCTGTACTGCATAATGAAGCTCTAGGTATATTGCCATAGCATATCTCTGTGGACCAAGATACCAGCAACACACTATCCATGGGTTCTTTGGCTTCCCAGCAACCCTGCCCAGAGCCTTTGAATCCTGTCTATTCATACATTGAGGCTATTAGGCTGCTTTATCTGTGGATAACTTTTAGGAGCAGACCCTCAAATATAATAAACAAAGATTAATCCAATAAACAGTAAAAACAAAGCAAAGCAAGTGGTGAATTAGCACCATTTCCACTCCACTGAGAAATATCGCTTAGAAAAAGCATTTATTTCACTGCAAGCACCATTGTCTCAAGGATGAGCTGAAATAGCCAAGTCTTGGCAGTTTTTCTAAATGCCATCATGGTGAGTGCAGACCTGATCTCAGGTGGGCCAGTTTTCCAAAGAAAAATCAGTAATAGAAAAGACTCACCCTCACTGCCCCAAGAACATGCATTCAAAAGAAATGCAGAGGATGCCCTCCCTTACAGATTTTATTGAATGGACACAGATGGCTTAGAGAAGGCTGTCCCAATGATGCCTAGCGTTTGAGCCATATAAGGCTTTGAAGGTGACAGCCAGCATTATAAATTTCAGCAGGGTATAATAATAAATCATGTGATTTAATTACACTCTTAAGATCTCTGTTCCTGTGACTTCTTGGTTGATTTGGAGTATTTAATTCTTGAACTAATTAATTTGTTTCTTGAGATCTCTGCAACATTTAACAAAATCACATGATGCATCCAGTGCTGGAAAAAAAACTGAGGACTCCTGTTCTGGATCTGAAGTAATTAGGAAAACTTTGAATCAGACCTGGGGGGAATTTAGATTCAAATGTATCCTGAAACATGGAATTAAATGGATTAACTTGCAAGCCAATCTGATAGAGTTTGGAGGAGGGAGCACTGTTGTCTGGAGGAAAGGCTGAGTATACATCTAACAAAGAGACAATAAGAATGAGTGAAAATGCCATCTTGCTCTTCAAGAGTCCCAGTTTTTTAAAAAAAAGATAAAAGTGAGAAAGGGAAAGATGATCTCACTGCTGGTACAATGAACTATCAATAGAAATGAAGTTGGAACATCGAGGCGACAGATCTATCTTTTTTCTTTCTGGAAAGATGCAGAGGAATAGGAATAGGAATAGGAAGAAGAAGAGGAAGAAGAATTAGAAGAATTAGAATTAGAATTGGAATTAGAAGAAGAATTAGAAGAAGAAGAAGAAGAAGAAGAATTAGAAGAAGAAGAAGAAGAAGAAGAATTAGAAGAAGAAGAAGAAGAAGAAGAAGAAGAAGAAGAAGAA